TGGAACAACAATAACAATGGGTAATGTTATTCAGAGATAATTATTCTGGTTACTAATTTTTCAGGAGCTATCAAAATGCTCCCCAATGACGTGTGTGTGTGTGTGTGTGTGTGTGAGAGAGAGAGAGAGAGAGAGAGAGATAGGGAGGGTGAGCCATCCATTGGCTCTAGTTCTCAAACTTTTGGTCTCACAATTCTTTTGCACACACAACCACTTACATCAGTTATGTAGGTCTATACCACCATATTGGAAATTAAACCTTCAATTTAAAAATGTATTTATTGACTTAATTTTTAGTACATTTATCTACTTAGAGAGAGTGAGTCAGTGAGTGAGTGAGTGAGTGAGTGAGTGAGTGAGTGAGTGTGTGTGTGTGTCTGTATGCATGCATCTTCATGTGTGCTCATGCAGGTCAAGGAACAACTTGTAGAAGTCGGTTCTCTTTCCACTCTGTGGGTTCCAGGGATCAAACTCAGGTCATCAGGTCAGCACTTTGAGCCATCTCACCAGCCCTACTAATTCATTTAGAAATAAATGTTTACATGTTTATATAAATAACAAAAAGTTATGGAAAATAACACTGTACATCATAGAGCCTTTGAAAACATCATGATAAAAATGAAAAGAAAATATTTAATACCAGAGGCTGGAAAGATGGCTCAGTAGTTAAGAGCACTGGCTGCTCTTACAGGAGACCTGGGTTCAGTTCCAAGCACTCACATGGAGGGAGGAGCCCATAACTGCTTATGACACCTTCTTCTAGAGTCTTCAGGAACCTACATACATTTGTACACACAAATGGTGCACAATACATACACTCAGCTATAGCCCACACCCTAAACAAAAAAAAAAATATCTTAAAAATATACTGAATACTGCCTTTGCTTTATTAACACAAACAGTTTTGACTTCTCAGTCACATATAAGGATATTGGGGATGGATGTACAGAGAAGTCTCCAAGCCACTTGGAGAATTTGTTATACTAACAACCTGGGACCTGGGGCTCAGGACAGGACTAAGGAAGCAGAGAAGAGCCATTCGTGTTCCAGATAGTAGACAGCAACCCACTACTTGCTTGGTACTCAACACCATGCTTCTTTTTTACCTAGTCTGATAAAAATTCAATGAAGTCTTTCAATTTATTCACAGCAGAGAAAAGGAGAAAGGAAAAGAAGCCACAAAAAAAGAAAAAAACTATCCAAGGCACTAGAAGGAAGCAACGCCATGCTGCCCCTTGCCCTGGGCCTTCTTGCAGAGAACAGCTTTCTTCCTGCCCAATGAAGGTCACTGTGTAGCCCTCTGACCCTCTTAGTACACACAAAAACACTTTTTTAGGTTTTGAGGGGCGTTTTGTTTTGTTTTGTTTTAAAACAAACAAACAACAAAAAACAAGCTCTTACCTTTCTTGCCCAGGCTTGCCTTGAACTTGTGGTTATCCTCCTGCCTCAGCCTTCCAAAGGCTGGGATTACAGGCATGAGCCATAATCTTAAACCTGAGTTTAAGACACTTCTCTACCATTCAGTCTACACAGAATACTGCCTTCAATCCTTAAATGTCTGAAGAGTAATAAAATCCTTATAAGATTTTTAAAAGACTTATTTATTATTTATATAATGTTCTGTCTGCATGTATACCTACACATCAGAAGAAGGCACCAGATCTCATTATAGATGGTTGTGAGCCACCATGTGGTTGCTGGGAATTGAACTCCTGACCTCTGGAAGAGCAACCAGTGCTCTTAACCTCTGAGCCATCTCTCCAGCCCATCTTTATAAGATCTTAAAGCACTGTATAAGCTGATAGCTCCAAACGGAATATTGAACTTACTGAAGATAATGCAATAATGCAATAGACCAGAAGCCAGTTGAAACTAGAAGCAATTATACAAAATAGTAGGCCTAACAATTCAAACAGCAAATTTAAACTGTTAAGTTAAAAATAAATATCTATTTAGACTTTTACTTTTAATCATAAGCCATAATAAATTCCAGACAGATCAACTGTTTTTGAAATAGAGAGAGCTGACCCTTTTCATCACAGTGTTCCCAGGACCTCCTTTAGGGCTGGTGTGCAGCCAACTTGGAGAATGCTGGTCAAGCAGAAAAAAACTAATTTGACTTCCAACTTATGCAACCCTGGGCAAGATTTTTATATCTCTGTCCTTCACATCCAGTTTATAAAGGGTGATTCAAAGTGACACCAGAAACATGAGACGAAAGTTCCATATTAATGAGTATAAGGAGCCAGGCACAGTAGCATATACACCTGGAAGTTCAGCACTTGGAAGTGGAGGTAAGAAGAATGCCGTGAGTTTGAGGTTAGCCTACACTACACAGTTACTGGAAGGCCAGCCTGAACTACAGAGTAAGACTTTCTCAAAAGGAAAACAAATAAACAAACAAAAATTAGCAGAAGGAATCAGGATTAGAAAGCTGCAGTCATCCATATGTTACTATTCTTCAAATATGTTTAGCATTAATATTCTAGTATCAAGAACAATGCCCATTCTCTTAGTACCCACCTTCATGTGATTAAGTCGACTAAGTTATAAGAGCATACATCCCTTGGGCCTCAGTAAAAGTATTTTATTTTGGAATGAGGAGAAGTTGCAGTCCATAAACTCATCTCTTTTTCCTGAATTGGCCCTTTTACCAAAAAAAGGCCTGGCTGACATCTCTGCTCTACAGGATATTGGAAATTTTCCTTTCACTCTTACTGTCAAGAGAACTAAAGGCAAGAGACAAGCCCAGGAATCTGTGAAGGGTTGGGTGGAAAAATGAGGGCAAGAGGGCATGCTCCCAGGAACAGCAAAGACTGGGAGTTGAAAAAGCCCTGGTGTGACACTATGCAAAGCATACACTTGTCATTTTTCTACAGAACAGAGATGCCAACCCCTCTCACACAAATAAAAACATCAAATGAGGCGATGAACACAAAGCTCCGAGATGTAAACTGCAGGGTAGCTAGACTGTCAGAGAACAAAACTTAAGCAAATGCTTTTTCTCCCACAAAAATGCTTTTTTCCATAGAAGGAGATGTGAGCAGAGGTACCGGGAGCTGCTTAGAACTTACCCTGTAAACTCCCATTACATTCCCACTGCTATGGCTGAACCCAGGCTCACACTGCTCATGATGGTTAACCTGTATTATCATCTTGACAGGATCTAGAACCAACTAAGAGATAAGCCTCTTAGCATGACTGTGAGATAAGGTCAGGTCAGCTTCTGGACATGCCTGTGGGATAAGGTTCGGTGAGCTGCATGCCTGTAAAGGTTAACTGAGGTGAGAAACCCCTTAATTGTGGGCAGCACCATTCTATAGGCTGAAATCCAGGACTGAGCAAAAAGAAAAGAGTGCGCTGAACTTCATACTTCTCTCTCTGCTTCCTGACTGTGGACATAATGTGACCAGCTACCTCAAGCTCCTGCTGCCATGACATCCCCACCATGAGAGGCTGTACTATCAAACCCTAAGCCGAACTCCCTCTCTTGAGTTGCTTCTGCCAAATAGTTTGTTTCAGCAGGTCAAGTAACTAGCAAGAGCCCACTACAAGTAAGGTGCTAGAGAGGCAAATTTAACTGTTTTCTACCTTGTCTACCACAACAGGCTTACACACAAAACTAGAGCACAAAACAAACTTCACAAAGTTTTATATGTTAATATGTTATGAAACTTGTCACATTTGTTAATCTTGGACCCCAAGTAGGATAAACTAAATAATGCATATAGTTACAACTTGTGAATAAAGTCTCATATTTTTCTTTCAGTTTGGCTCAAGTCTGAAGAACCTGGGCCCTGGGTCCTGGTACAGGAAGTGATGGATAGCCCTGGTTTATATGCAGGTCCTTGGTGCACTTTTGATCGCTCCCCACTGCTTTGTTGTCCTTGGTACTACAAGCTCTTGAGGCTATCAACTCATAAAATAGTCCTACTTCACCTGGCCTCCTGGGAGAAGAGATTCCTTTGCTTTCCTGTGCTGTCTAGGGAACAGATCCCATGGTTTCTAATAGACTCCTGTATGGTTTCCTCTACATTTCCTTCCCTCCAAGATAAGAGTCTCCCTACATAGCCAAGGCCAGCTTCAAAGTCATAATCCTCCTGACTTAAGTACCTAGGTGCTTCAAATACAAAACACACCTGTATTCTACTCCAACTCTACCAACATTCATCATGTCTTTCCAGTTCTCATGCTCTGTTTAGCTCGTTTTTATTTTACTTGGAGAGTATATCATTCTGTAACATAGCTATTCCTTGTCATGTGTGGCTTGATAATACATATCTATGTATTTTTATAATCTTTTTAAAAACTGTGTGTACATACTAAAGTCTGTGTAGAATCTTGTCTGTATGTGACCACGTGTACAGGTGTTCAAGCATCCAGAGGCCAGGAGAGGACTTCAGAGTCATCTTTTATCCATTTCTTTATTCCCTTGAGACAGGGAATAAAGACAGCCTTCAGGTCTCCCTGACCCTGAAGTTTGCTGTTCAGCTAGACTGACTGGCGAATAAACTTCTGGGATCTACTTGGCTCTGCCCTCCAGTGCTGAGGTCAAAGGTTTGTGTGACCATGCAGCTTTTATACCAGCACCATGGATCCAAATTTGGGTTCTCATGTTTGCTCAGCAAGCAGTCCAACAGACTGAGCCATCTCCCCACCCCATAGTTGTATATTTTAAAATGCAAATTCCATTCATTCACTAAACAGAGATGTACTGAGTACTAAACATGTACCATCACTAAAGCTATAATAAGTTCATCTACTCAGTTCACAGTCTATAGGTTGGAATAGACAATGAAAGAATAGTTTATCCACTAGACTACTAAGACTAGGAAACAGAATTTACCTTGAAGTAGTAGTTGCAAAAACACAGAATACAAGAAAACAAATACTTTAAAAAGCACAATAAACTCAAAGTACAGTTTGAGGATAAAAAAAATCCCCCTTCTATTTATGAATTATACCATAATTTAGAATTATAACAATAAATATTTCCAAACCTCACATCTACTGTATTATTCATATCGTGGTCAAACACTTCAAATGCTTCTTTGATTTTCTTATGCAAGTCTGCCATTATATGCTCTGCAAAAGACAAAGTAAACAAAATTACTTTATTAATTCAAAACAAAATTCTCAGTAAACTAACTAGAAATCTTTTGGTAGTTTTCTTTGTTTTGTCTGTCCATCCATCTGTCTGTCTGTCTGTTTTGAGACAAGGTCTCACTATCTCCATATGTAGACCAAGCTGCCTTTCAATCTCAATGCTGAGACTCCAGGCATGTGCCATCATGTCTGGCTAAAGTAGAAAGCCAACTAAGGAAGAACCTGAAAGAGTCATTCTTGGTCTCCTTTATAAATCATATGCCATGCCCTCTGGAAATGCCAAAGAACAGATCTGACAAAAGCAAGTTAAGGCCAGAAGGGGTTCTTCTGATATAGTCCCTCATGCTGGGGAAGTCATGATACTAGACACTTTTTTTTTCTTGAGATATAACAGTAAACTTACTTCAATTTTCATCTTGTATATGTGGTGTGTGTGTGTGTGTGGTGCGTGCGTGCGTGTGTGTGTGTGTGTGTGTGCGCACAAGGTGGGGAGGCACTATCAGAAATCGCCTTCTAACTCTGCCAATTTACTTTCTGAGACAGGTTCTCTCACCAAACCTGGAGCTTGCCATTTCAGACAGACTGTCAAGCAAGCCCCTTGAACTATCTCTGCCCTCCACTGGAGTATAGATCTGCTGCTGCCCTGGCTATTATGTGTTTGCTGGGGATCCAAATTCAGATCCTCCTGTCTGTACTGCCTCTTGTCATTCAGTCACTGAGATGTCTCCCTACTGAGCAATCTCTGCAACCACTAATTTTGAGCTTAAGTACACAGTACAGTATACTACAAAAAGCCAATACCCAGATCTAAAGCCAATATGCAGGTCTAAATGGTCTGAGACCTTCAGCCTACCCTCTGTCTAAAGTAGTCTGGTTGCCATTCTAGTTCAACAAGAAATATAAACCCAAGACAACAAACGCCATCTACTTGCTGGGAGTAGACCTGCTCATTACCTTTGCTCTGCTCTTGAGGAGGGCTGAAGGTGGGCAAGAGGCATATAAACCCGCCTGTGCTTCAGGGAGCTTTAAGCAGTGTGGGATTAGAGCTCACTTCCATGGACTAGTGAAGCAGTCAATAAACATCACTGAGCTTACTATGCTCCACACACTCAAGGTCACAGCAAGGAGTCAAAGAGACAAAAAGTCCCTGACTCACTATCTTTATTGGAGAGATACATAATACATAGTTGTCGACATAGACAGGAGGTCGTATGACCTTAAACAGAAAAAAGGCAAAGGAAATAGTAAGAGATGTGAAGAGTCCCAATGAGAATGCCTCCCTTGGTGACAAGGTGACAGGATACAGCTGGCAGACAGGAAGAGCCAATCTGTAAATATCTCCAGAAAGTTTTCGAGCAGAGAGAACAGAAAGTGCAGAACTGCAGGTTGTGAGTTGTTGGGTGGGAGCTGAATCTCTTAAGGATTTTGAACTTTGTCCTGAATGCCATGAGAAACCACTGGAAGGTTCTATGCACTATGGGGACCTGATTGTCTTTTCACCATTGTCACTGTGTAGAGAAAGGCGGTCACAGAGACCAATGCAGAGGTGGCTGCAGTATCTCTCTCAGATATGAGCAATGACTGACCCTATAAGGGGAACAGTGGACATGGAAAGAAATGACAGGACTCTGGTTACAATCTGAAGGCAGTGTCACTAAGATGTGCTGACAGAGTTGGTAGTAGGAGGAGGGACGGGACAGGGTTGAGACTGACTTCCAAGTGTTTTGATAAGTAAAAGAAAGGACAACTAACTAGAGATACAGCTCAGTGGTGGAGCACAAATGAGAAGTTAGGTCCCCCCATAAAAGGGGGGGGGGTTTGCATCATCAAGTCTCAGATGTTTACAATGATACAGCCATGTAATCAAGTCTCAATATGAAGCAATGTGTACAACAGGATGCCCAGAAAGGAAGAGAAGGATAAAGTATGAGAATAGTTTTTCCAAATAGAAAACCACCAAATATGGAATAAGACCACATACCTAACCTTACCTTATGTAGAGGGCACAAGAAGAAATAATAATTTAAAAGTCAAAAGACAAAAATGGGAAATTTTTATAACACTCATTCTCTTTGTTCTAATGCAACCACTAATCATTTTGCCACATTTTCCTCCAAGTTCTATGCATATGCTTTTATATATCGCATTCCGTTATCACCATTCATTCACTCAAGAAGTATTTACTAGCCAAGTATTAGATGTCTGGTTCCAGGTCATTCTTAGAACTAAAGAAACCAAGGTTCAGTGAAATTCAGCAACTCATCCAAGGAAAGAGTTTATTAAGGGGCAGGGCTGAATGGAACCCAGGTATTTCCCTCTTTAATCTAGTTCCTCCATCTAACTATTAGTTCACTCTATCTATTAGCATTCATAACATAAGAACTATAACTAGAGTTCCTTCATCTAAATGTTTTTTTTTCCAGGTGGCAGCATAACTTTCCATCTTTTGCAGCACCACAGGAATACAACAGAATTTACTGACATAATTAAATTTTACTATAACATGACAATGAAAAGCTTACTAATTTTATAAAGAAAAAATGAATGTTGCTTCATTACTTAAGTTTACACTTCTCTGATTACATGTGAGTCTCACTAATGGCCCATGTTTTTGTATGTCACCTGCTTTCAGTTACTAATTGTCAGCTCACATTCTCTACTTAACCCTTACTAGGATCTTCTATTATTTCTTAATCGTTTGTGTGAGCTCCTTAGAAAGCAATGACTTGGCCTCTGTCAAAAGCACTGCAAACAACCTTCAAGGTCACTTGTTTAATTTGATTTTGTAAAATGAGAGCAGATGTCTATCTGGACATCAAAACTGCCCATTCCCTGAGGCAGGGCAAAGAATATGGGAGAGTTTAAATTAGCTTAAAATCACCTAAAAATCTTTACCTTCCCAACCCAGAATTAGTTACTCTTGATTCTGTTCTTTAATCTTTCACTCAAAGATAACTTTTAAGTATTCTTCCTTCTCAAAAGATATTACACTTATATCTTTGTGACTGCTTGGTATTCACTTACAGGTCTTTACCAAAATTAGTTAGACCAACACCCTAATTGTGGATTCTTCATTATTTTGTTACTTTCATTATTATAATAAATGCTTTAGTGAACAATCTTATCTAGTTCATTTTTGGACATTTGTCATCCATCTCATTAGAATTCAATAGCAGAGGAGGCTGGGGAGGTGGCTTAGTCAATAAAATGCTCACTGAAAAGCATGGGGATCTTCTATCACCAACACCCATATAAAAGGTCAGCATGGCAGCAATGCTTGTAATCTCAGTGCTCTGGAGGCAGAGAGGGGATGGTCCCTAGGGCTTGCTCACCACCAGTCTATCTGAATCAGTGAGTTCCAGGCTCAAAAACATTAAGTGGACAGCAATTGAGGAAGACACCCAATAATGACTTTTGGCACACACACAAAGAGAGGGAGAGAAGAAGAGAGAGACAGAGAGAGAATGGTCAAAGTTATATGGAATATGAGAAAGGTGTTTTGATTGAGACAAGGTCTTAGTGTCCCAGGAAATCTCAAATATATGACTATATAGCAGAGAATGACCTTAAACTTCTGATCCTCCTTCCACCAACTCCTGAGAGCTGACAGTACATGCATGTGCCACCACACCTGGTCTACACAGTGTAGGTGTCAGAGATAGAACTTATCACTTCATGCATGCTAAGCAAGTACTCTACCAGCTGGCCTATATCCCTAGCCCTAGAGAAGTTCATATTAATCATCACCATCAAAATTTGAAAGAAATTCCACTGTTGCCACTTTAGAAAGGAATTCAGGGAACTACTGGAGAAATGCATTGATATTCCAGAAACCCAAAGAGCACCTTAAAGTGCAGCCAGTTGGGGTTGAGGAGCTGATTTTTTTTGTGTTTTTTTGTTTTGTTTTTTTTTTACATGAGTGTTTGTAACAAGGTAATAACAAACATTCATGATCACACATATCAGCCACTTCTGTCTCTGTGTAGCTGCAGTGCCCTCTGAGCAGCAGCCAAGCTCACTGCATGGCTCTGATACAAGAACATATGTACAGATGTTGCCACTATGTTACAAGTGTAAATCATCACTATTATTTTGATAGGAGGCATTGTTTTTTCTGTTTGTTTTTTAAGACAAGTCCGCACTATGTGGCCCAAGGAGTTCTATAAGTCAAACTCCTCTTGCATTGATCTTCTGCTTGCTGGGGTTACAGGCATGAGTTACCACAACAACCCTCCACATTATTATGAAGTAATTAATATAAGAAAATTCAGCTGAATGAATAAACCATTTATATTAGCAGAAAATTTAAGCTTTATTTGTCCAGTTACAAGTTTATAATTTTAATAATTGCAAATTTAAATGGTTTCAAAATGTCTTGACATTTTTATATGAAGTTTCTCATTGGTGGAATACTATCAAAAACTGAGAGATTTGTACAAAAGTTTTTAACAAGAATTGAATCTCCAGGTGTAGTTGCTTGAGAGTTAAAGCAGAGAGATATCTGTGAGTTTAATGGCAGCCTGGCCTACAAAGAGAGTTGCAGGACAGCCAGGGCTACATAGTGAGGCCCTGTCTCAAAGAGAAAAAATTGAATTTCAACTATGGGTAGTTATCTCACAGTACTCAGGAAGTGAAGGCAGGAGGGTCAAGAGTTCAAGGTCCTCCTCTGCTATACAGTGAAGGCTTACCTTTAAAAAAAAAAGTGGAAAAAATAAATCTGTTTGTATTATGTGTGTGGGCATGTATACAAGTAACCATAGAGTACAGAAGAGGGTCTCTAAGACCCTGGAGCTAGAGTTACAAGTAGCTGTGAACTATCTGAGGTGGGTACTGGGAATCAAACTTGGATGCTCTGAAACAGCAGCAAATGCTTTTAATCACTGAGCCATTTTTTCTAGCCCAGAAAATAATTTTTTTAAAAATAAATAAAAAGAATTTAATATTTTAGATGTTGTAGCCAATAAGGAGGCTTTTGAATT